TAAAATTTATTTTGCTTAAGCAACTTCTAAAAAGTAATTTTCCATCTTGTTTTGAACGAGAAACTTTTTTTATCAAGATTAATTTTAGACTATAAATGTTCCAATTTTGTTCGTTCAACAACTTTCAGAAAAAAGTAATCTTATCTTTGTATTTTCTAATCACACACAAAATTATTTGTACCAAAAGTTATTTAGAAAGCTTAAAATTTTGTATTTGATGAGAGTTTGTTATTCATGTAGCTTAACACTCTTGATATAACGCATCATCGATATACACTAATTTTTTTATATCAACGAATTAATATATAATTAATAGTTAATGATTCTATTGATGCAAAAATTATTATTAATCATCAATGATTTTTTATAATTTATATAGATTCATAATATTTACATTAACAAGTTAATTTATATCAAATAAACTATATTAATAACAAAGAGATTTAATGACAACAAAGTGTTGACAAATATAGTATTAGAACAACCTATATTTTAACAACTATTTTAATAATAAAAAAGTTAGTCGTTTTAGCTTGTGCGACTCCTATACTCTTTTATTTCATCCTAAGACTTAGGAACGATAACTATTACGATCATCAAGTTTAGCCCAATAAACTACAAAAAGGTTTGTCTATAGTTATTGAATGAATTTGATAAACATAGATTTATTTGTATCTATTGTGCAAATTAATATGATTTGAATTCAAATTGTAAAGCCTAAAGTAGAGAAAATTGAATAGATAATCTTGTCGAAAGTCATCTACCGGTATGAAAAACCTAACATTGTGAGTTCAAACTAGTGTTAAAAAACCTGACTCAAAACAATGAATTATATTAACTTATGTGTACCGACAAACTTGTAACAAGATAGTTAACTTATGTATATCAACCATTACAGTACTGTTTCGTGTTAATTAATTATAATTTTTTATTGTTATATTTATTACATAATCAATTATCTCGATCGACCAAGTTGATCGATTACTGAAGATTCAAAATTACGTTTAATATTTAACAAGAAAAGAATAAAAAACGGATGAGTGGTTAGTCAAGGCATGGGATGATTGAAAATGCAATAAAATTGTACGATTGTGCTATTCTGTTAGCTCGCATATATAGAACATAATGTATTTGGTGTAAGAGTACAATGATGCTATTCTTTTTCATTTAATTTTTTTATATTATTTTTTGCTCTTATTTTTGAAAATAAATGAGAACAATTAAACGAGTTAAAGTCATAAAATAATGTTAAGAATTCAAACAAAGTTTTATTAATTTTTTAATTCATCACAATATTACTATTTTACTTTATTATTAATAACAACAATTTAACATAGTATTCATTTATTTGTGCAAATCCATATGATATTTTTATTGGTTGAATATATCTTCAGACTTTAGGATCCTTGAAGTTTCAAGCTTAAAGTTGTGATGCTATACTTATTCTTACACTTGAGTTGTAATAACATGTAATAATGGTTTGTATTTAGTGATCACTATTGGAGTCCACAAAATTGAATATTCGAAATTATTACACTTATTAGACGCATGTTCAAGTGCATTTGTAATGGGCCGCTAAAATGGGAGATACGTTTAACACTGTGAGCCTTCTTTTCGAAATTCAAGCCGAACCATTTTACCTAAACCCTAAAGTTACCTAAAAGTTATAAATTTTAAGTAAAATAATAATGATAAGTCTATTTTTTTATAATTAACAAAATAAAAAAATTTAATTAATTTTAAAAAACATAAAGTCCAAAATAAAGAGATAGAAATATAATTAAACCAAAGTTTAAAAATAGATATGACTAACACCCTCTCGTTGCCTGCATATCCTAATTAGAAATACTCTTAAATTTTTTAACTGAAACTTAGTGCTATTTTTTTGTTATAATTATTAACTAATAGATGTAATTTAAGTTTTTCCACTTTAATCAATAATTTTAAGTTTGAATTTAACAAATATAGTTTATTAAATATTTTGAAAAAATTAACGTTCATGATAATTATTTTATTTGGTTCAAATAAGATTATCTCTTATAAAAAAATTTGTTGAGAAAAAAGAAAACATTTTTTTCTGAGCTTTTTATATTGCTGCTATAACTTGCCCTATTGCTTCTATACCTGTCATTATGTGCATGCAGGTGGAATCGTTCTTTTCCATCCAGTTCACAGTTGACACTTAACAGTACCGTTGATGCAACCAAAAATTTAGTAAAATGTCAATCTTATTACTTGACAGCGGACTAGTTATACGAGGTTTTCACTCTAGGTATGAAGAAAAAGAAATATATGTAATCGATGGGGAAAATTTATGTAGACCTCAAATAATGTATACGTATAATGAGCAGGTCTACGTCTAGTCATTTTCGTACAGCTGCAAATATTATACGTACAATACAAGCTAATTCTTTTACTTATTTTTTAAATTTTTATATCACATTACTCATAATACTTTCTTTCTTTCTTTCTTCAAATATATATTCCTCATGAATGCATAACATCTATAATTTGGATTATAAACCAATCATGTAAAAAATTCGATAATATAAAGAAAAGATTAAGATTAATTCTTCATAAAAAAATTGATTAATTTTATTTATAAAGAATTTATATAGTTAAAATTGAATTACAACCTGTTTGAATGTTTTCTTCAATAAAAAAATTATTCATAAATTTTCATAATAATTAAATAACCCTTAAAAAGGAAAGCTAACATATGACTATTTACATGGATATAAATAAAATGTAAACCTAATATGTTATTTTCAAATTTAGAAATAGAATGAATAATAATAAAATGATAATTAAACAATTCAATAAAAATTTCTGAACTCTATTCAGCGCGTTCCCTCCTAAATTAAAACTTTGAGGTACATAATGAATTGGGAGGGAATAATTTTAGTAAGCTATTTTATTTTATTTCGATCATTTGTAATATAGAATATATTCTATTATTTTTCTATTCATTTAATTCTATTCCATCGATCAATCCATAGATACCCTAATTAATATAAAAAAAAGAGTGCAAACTATTAATTTATATTCTTATGTGTTGCAGACAGTTTATCGGCTATGTGGGCTTCATTCACCGTTCACACTTCATATTAATTAATTTCACATCGTTTAATTACCTAACATTGAGACAATAGAGTGGGTGGGTTTTTGAAACTTGGCAGTCTTGTCTCTATCTGTATAAGGACGATCATGGAATTCTACAAAGCATTCCTTCATCAACACTAATTAACCGTTTTTCTATACTTCGTTGAAGAAGACAAATGAAAAAGGCTTAAGCATTTAAGCATGCATAGACCATTTCATGTGTTATTTTAATGGAAATAAAAGTACATTTTCATGGATTCAGATCTGTTCAGTTAAAGTTTTAATTGCAGAGAACTTGACCATCATATTATTATACATGCTTGAATTGGATTATTTTTAGAGACTGCAATTTCTTTTCTTAAAAATATTTATTTATAATCTTGTTAGCTCTTATTTGGTAATATTCATGAAATTCTTTTATAATCTTAAATTATTTTTGCTATAGTAGTTTTTTTTAAAGTAAAAAAAAATTATGATTGAAAGTTAATAAATTGATAGTATTTTGCTTTCTTTTTTCTCATTTTTTTCTCAAAATTTAATTTATTTTAATATAAAATTAACTACTACAAATAATTTTATATTATTTTTATAATTTTACTACGATCTGTTGTTTATTTATTATTGCACCTATAAAAACTATACTATGTATTTATATAAGAATTCGGGTGCTTGTATTTTTTATTCTAGTAATAATAATTCAATTCAAACTCACACGTAGCCAGCCAAGATAGACCATAAAAGCATTTGGCATGCTCACGCTCTGACTTGCTATCAGCTCACGATTTTACGTTTTTTTCTTCCCATTTCTTTCTTAATGAGGACTGTTAGTCACATTCGACTAAGTATTTCCCCGATCTTCTAATTTAAAAATATTTGTTAATAAAACTAATATTTAAGAGGAAAAAACCATTACCATTTTGAAGAGAGAATTTATTTAGACACTGTATTTTTTCAAACTAGAGAATCTAATAGAAAGGGAAGTATGTAAAGAACAAAAAACCATAAGTTTTTTTTGGCTCCTTTCCATGTTTCATAGAAGCCCCAGGTAATATATTTTATATTAAAAATTAATTTTTTAAATGAAAAAAGTATTTTTTTATTATATTTCCTTTTATTAATGATTGGTTTGAACATTAATTATAACTTACTCTTTGTATTTTTAAAAATTATCAAATTATAATTAGGTTTAATATTTCTTTTTTCGTAGTAGTTTATATGTTATTTTTTGAAGTTAAGATTTTAAATTGTCAAATATAAATTTTAATTATTTGAAGTTTTTATGTTAAAGTTTATTTTTTCTAACATTTTAACTACCTTAATTCAAATTATTTGTTAGAAATTTTACATTTGTCATAAAGATGGGTGAGGTGTCTTTATTTTGCAGTCTCTTAATTGAGAGGAGCATTTTTCTAAGTTACTTTATGTAATAAAAAAAATTATTTTATGGAGTTTAACTCCTTTACATTCAATGAACCTTCCATATTAACAGAAAGTAATTAATACAAACATCCCATAAAATGTGTCTTTCTCTCTTCTACTGGAAGATATCTAGACACCTCATGTTACATTTTAGGTAAACTAATAAAATTAAGATATTAAACTCAATATTATATTAATTTTTAATATATTTGTAAACAAAATCTCATTTGTCTACTTAAAATGAAATTACTTATTCCATAGACTAACTTAGATCGCGAATGCAATTAGCAAAAGGTGGAAAAGACAAATTACAACCACACTATTGTTCTCGACATATAGGAGCTGAACACTATCAGAAGGTGATGTGCTTTCACAAATACAGTATACAGATCAAATAGATAAGAAAAAGAGCAAGTTCATTTTATTCTGTTTTTATGTAAGTAGTTAACTTGTGTATGATCAAACAAGGCCTTATTTTTTTAAGCCTTGTGCTTAAGTATGTGTTGCAACTGAGATTTCTGGCTTTTCACTATTTCTTCCAATGGAATAACCTTGGAATGAGATTTTGGAATGCCACGTGGCCATTCTAAGCATCCTTTCATCCCACGAGTTATGTGTGGGTTCCTTTGTCTTGCCCTTTTATGTTGAAAAGATTTTGAAGAAATTGTCGTTGTTCCACGTTTAGAGGCCGCAGGAGAAGCTTTCCACTTTGTTTGTTCTGCTGATATAGAATTAGAACATACCCTATTAACTCCCGTCTTTAGAAATTTCAAACATGCCTTTTCACTACATTCTGCTTCACTCTCAGATATATCATTGTCTTGGTTAACATTAATGAGATAGGTGTCTCCTTTTTGTGGTGTTGAGCTAAACTTCCGATCCTCAACAGTGGAGGAACTTGATTGATGGAACATAGAGTTTTTATTGAACCCTTCTCCATCATGAGTTTCAAAAATGGAAACTATATCGTTTGACTTTGAGAAATCATATGAAAGCTCCACAATACGTTGAATATTTACTGATTCAACTGCTTGTTTGATCAACTCAACGTCCTTTAGTTCTGTGGTGTCTAGTTCACTGCCCCTTGATATTAAGAACATTTGAAGAAAATCTATCAATTGGACCATTTGATTATATTTTTCTTCAAGAACAAGTTGCGCATCAACTAACTTCATTTGTTCACGCTCTTCACGCCATAGATCGGCCATTTGCATCATTTTCCTTTCTTCTTCCACTTCCTCACAAAGATCTATGGAATTGCTCAGTACCTTAAGCTTAGCCTTGTCTTCTCCTATTTGCGTGACTAATTCATTACACAATTCCGCAATTAATTCTCTTTCTTTCTTTTCTTTCTCGTAATTTGTCATAAACTGTTTGGCTAATAAGTTGACTTCAGCAAGTTCATGTAACAATTTGGTATTGAACAACTCAATTCTCTCTCTACTTCTTCTTTCCCTCGCCAACTTTTCCTTTAAGTCATCGAACATTGCTTTAATCTTTTGGCTTTGTCTATGCTTCCAAAAGATGTTTTCCTCTTTAAGGTTCTGCAAAGTCGTTCAATCTTTTTCTTGAAGGACTTTTGTTCAGCTTCAAGTTTATTGATGGAACTTTGAGCTCGACGAAATTCTGCAAAGCTGTGACAACAGGGTCATTGTCACTTACTAAATTGGATGCTTCGTTAAGAGCAAGGTTCCGTTTTGTTGCAACTTCTTTTGAACCTTTGAGATGAGGCATGGAAGATTTAAACTGAAAAAAATCCCACAAAGAACATAGATTTGAAAGTAGAATTCCTTAGTTATAATAAGAACATGAGGAGAAACATATATAGTATTTAAGGTTAATTTCTTATTCGTTTTCATAATAATAACATCAATGAACCAATAATTATAATAACAAGCATGTAATTTGTACCTCGTAGCGAAGTCCATTTCTTGGACGCAAGATGGTTATCGACCTCCTTAGCTTATCTTTAGTATCTTTAAATTTTTCTCCAGAATTGTGATACTGGGGAGACGCGATCCTTGAACTCCCATCACCCAGCTGAAGCATATATGTATGTGGATCCATAGAGCGGGGCGGAAATTAAGCAGCAGAAATATCATGTAAATTTGACAAAACAATATCAAATATTAAGATTTTATGGCTAATATAATTTTTGTCTAACAAAGATCTAATTACTAGTATAAACTTCAAATATTTTTACTGATACTATAATATATTATATAGATATTTGATGTGTTAATGATATGTATATCAATATGTTATATTAATTAATTAATTTATTAATATAATAAATATATCATATAACTATTAGGATGAATTAATCAAGTCTATTTAATAAATTTAGCAAAAAGTTAATCAGTTATCCTGGAGTACCTGTTAGAGCAAACGCTAAAGACCAATGTTTGAGTTTTAATTTGGAAACTATCAACCTAATATCTCAAGTACGAAAACAGTAACAAAAAGCATGTTGTTTAAATGTTAGTAAACTTAGTTTTTGTTTCTTCGTATAGATATTAAAAGAATAAAATCTAGGTGTAACATTTTAATTTTTTTTTGTTATTTATCGATAAAAATTAGAGTTTTACAACAGTAGCTCATGAAAATATTAAATGTAAACACTGATTTGGTTGATAAATAATATCCAAAGTATATAAAAAAATTGCACCTATTTTTGTCTATATCAAACTGTAAACCTAAAAATAATATAGAGAAAAGGATACAAAGAAATTTATTTTTTGTCGACCAGAATTCTAATATTTTTTCTAGCCTAAAAAATTGGATTATATCTAGCCTTGTTTTATTAAAAGGACACAAAGTTTACTTCATATTAAGGTGTGTGTGTATATATCTCAAGAGTCTAATTATATTTTGTCTTGCTTTTTGCCATCTGTCACACTCTACAATGAAAGTGTTATTTACTAACGATCTAAACAATTCTTAAGTATTAACATATTTTTATTATTGTAATATTTGTTTAACAAAAATTAAATTATTTTAAAAAATCAGCATTCACGTTAACAAATAATATAGTATAATAATATTTATGTATTGATAGTGTATATTAATATTTTATATAATTAATTATTTATTAGTATATCATATCATATTATTAATATAAATTTAAAATGTCTATATTAACAATTTGATTTAGTAAAAACAGATATTTCAATAAATACTATTTTAACATTAAATAATTAGTAAGTGAGAAAAAAAATTGTTGTGAGAACCAGTGGATGCCAATATTCAATTTTCTAACAATAAAAAACTACTTCTTTTACGTTTGTCACCATGTATGGAATCAACAAAACATATTATTAATCTAAGTTAGACTTAAATAGCTGGAAAAAAAAAAGTAGGGGTAAAGTATATATATTATATGAACTTGAGAACCAAACCTAATGAAGCTTAAACTGATCCCTTCAACTTTTGCACTTACATCAAAACATAAACTAAGCTAAGCATGTCAGCAAGACTAAACCCTAACTAAGGCTCGATTACACTGCTAAACTTGGTATCTAAACCTTCCTAGCTAGTATTTGAATTTGAACAAAATATGGTTAAGCAGCAACCTCTAAAGAGGAAAAGGAGTGAGAGATTATATAATAAAAATGCCAGGCCGCAGTTCGTAAATGAACCTTTTGAAGAAGAATAAAATGGATCAGCCCTCTAATTTTAACAAGTTATTAAGAGAAAATTAGATAAGTGGAGTGTTGACAAACTTTCTCGATTCAGCTGTTAAATAACCAAAACTTAAAATCTATATAATGTTAGATATAATTATTTTTATTTCTTAGTAAATTTTTTACCTTTTTTTATTTATATGCATTCTAAAAATATACTCAAAAAGTAAAGAAGCCTACCGTTGTTAAAAAACATTTTTGTTTCTGAAAAGGTGCAATGTCAATTTAAAGTGGTTATGTCAAGAAAAAAAAACTTATATTTTTATATTTATTTTTTCCTATATCAATTTTTATCCTTTTTTTAAAATCATTTATCAGACATCTCTTATTTTCTTTTCTTTATTTTTTTTCTTTTACCATCCATTTAATTTATACTCATTAAGTGAGTGTTAAATCATCATTTCAAAGAATAATATAGCTAAGCAAAAGCGTCTTGCACCTTCCGAAGAAAACGAAGATTTTAAATTTTAACAAATACATGAATAGATTTAGGCTACGTTGCGGAAGAAATGATGATTGCTAAGAAGGATTCGATCGAGCTTACTAGTTACTATGTCTATGTGTGTCCATACTATGGTAATTAAGATAGAATAATTAGTATATGCTTCGCTTTAATCTGAATCAAGAGAAGGTGGTTTTTCAAAAGTAGCAAAATACAAAAAATATCATAAGACTGATTGTTTTAAATTAAAATTCTGTGACACTATCTAATTAACAACCTGCTTTTTTGTCTTATTTATCTCTATTATATCATTAATTTTATCTCTCTCTCTCTCTCTCTCTCTCTCTCTTATCTCTTTTCATATTGTAAAAGATGTTTGATAATGTATTATTAAAATACCACTTCTCGTATCATTAAACCAAAAGAAGCAAACACATTAAAATGATAAAAAAAATATGTAATAATCAATTGAACCTCTGAAGTTGGAAGGTAATCACAAGGAACATTAAATATAACTTTTTCTTGTTCAACTTAAAGAAATCAAAATGCAATCTTGAGAATACTCATAAAAAAGCCATTCATTTTATGTATTCCTGCCAGATGACTTATCTAGTTTTCTTTGTTAATAAGAGAATCTGGAATTCACTAAAAATTCAATAAAGAAAAATGTTTTAGGAACAACAAAAGTTACATTCTTTAGTTTTGACAAATATTCTTAAGATTCGTATATGTGAAACAATAATAAATAAAAAATTCTTTACATAATCACACACATAAGATAAAGTATGTTTATTATTAATTAAGATATTTGTAGTGATTTTTTAAGTCGTTTTTATCTAAAGTTTTTTAATCAAGTTAATAATAAAAGTATTTAAATAAAATTCTCAAATTAAAATGTGTATAAAAAGGTAGTGAAAATAATTAATTTTGGAAAAAATTTAGACATATTTCACACCTAAAAACAAATTTATTAGAGGAGAATTATCTAAAAAATATTTTAGTTATATCTCTAATTGAGGTGATGCCCCTTAATATGTGCTTTTTACATTTAAAAATGGATATATAATACATAAAATTTGAAAGATTAAGTATTTGCAGGTGACCTAATATTCAAACAATATAAACTTTGATATCATTTTAAAAAATTAACTCTGATTTATTCTTAAAAGATAGTAATTAGTGAAAAAATAATTGCCCAGACTTTATAAAAAATATTCTTACATATTTCTACCAAATATGATGCATCTAAAAGTACTCCGTTTAAAAAATGAAAGTGTAGATGGGTCGTTGGTCAAACAGTACAGGATTCAAAAAGGAAACAAAAGATTCAATGTTTCCAAAAACATAACAGTAAAAGGAGAAGAGTTGCACTTTGTCATATATGTGAAATACATACCCGAGACATGGACGAAGGAAACGACGACGCATAAGCACCTCCATTCCCTGAGACCTCCATAAACCTCAATTGCCACAATCCGGCTGCGATCTTCCTCGCCGAAACCTCACTTTTCTCGAAACCTTCCCAAAATTTCTCAGGTGAATTGCTATTACTTGTTGTGTGTTTCTTGCGATTCCCACGGAGGCGAAAGGCGACGACGACGCCCGAATTTCGATTTTTCCGGCGGCGAGTCATGAACTGAATAAGGGACTCGCCGATGGAGTTTATTGGCACGGTAAGGTTGTTGCTGGACGCCATGAACACAGAGAGAGAACCTCATAGAGGTCCCAAGCAAACGAAGAAAGAGAAATGCAAAAGAACCGGGAAAAAAAGAAACAAAAGAAAGTAGGTTTGCATTCAGGAATGTTTCAGTTTCTGTCTTGGGAATGGTGATTTATGCTTTTGTTTGAACGAGGAGAAACTAGGAAGAAAAGAAATAAAATGGGAAGATATATTATTTAGATAAAAAATTAAAATGAAGAAATTTTGTATATTTGAAGAAATGAAAGTAAACAACATAAAAATATGCTAATTAATTTTTTATGGTATTATTTTTTCTAAAATAAAGAGTAAGAATTTATTTATTTAAAGAGTTAGTTTTCTAAATTTACTTTATTTAATCTGTTAAATTAATTTTATCAAATAAATTAAAATTTATAAAAATTATACTATTTTAAAACTAATTAATATTTTATCACGTAATTTTATTTTAACGAATATTATAATTTTGAAATATAAATAAATATTAACTGTAAAATTATCGCCTAGCAATATTTTATTTTTAATAAAACATATATACAAATGATCATAAATATAATAAAATGAAATTTAGTATTTGCTTTCGCTTAATTTATGCACGCACATAATCATTCGCAAATTTATATCATTAGCATAGATTTTTTTTTATTATGAAAACAGTGAGGC